CTTTGAATTTATTCTGTAAGTATTTACATTTTTCTTGTTTATCGGGTGTTCTCTCTTCAAAAGAGATCGCCATGGCTATTCGATGTACTTCAATCTGCTGAGCAACTGATTGAACACTTGTTGTAATCAATTCGACCGGTTCTTTGTAACAACAGATAGCAACAATATGACGAATACGTGTTTTCTCGAGCCTAGTGATCTCTTCCGTATAATTACGCGAGCGATTCGCATACAAAATGAAAACATTTCTCACGGCCAATATTGCGATGACTAGAAAAATCAAAATTGATTAAGTTAATTCTAAGAATGAAAGAATCTTCGAGTTATCTTACTAGTTCACATGAATACGCAAACACCTTGAATCGATAGTAGTATATAGAGAGTAACTTGATTCGAAACAAATGGAATCTAAAACGGTAATGGAACAACAACCCATAAGAGAAGATTAAATAGAAGATTCCAATGTAACCATTGACTGCCACTTTTCATTTCAGTATGTGTTATGCCAGTTTCAATGATTGTATGAGGAGGGACTGATTCGATGATGATATTTGTAAGTTGATTTCCTCATTTCCATTGACAGATGTCAATCGAGTGAACTTTGGTTCTTGTAAAATTTCACTGACGAGTTGTGCCTCTTGTCCTAATCGTTCGATTTTTTGTTCAGCTTCTATTGAGATTTGATGAAAGAAATTCTTCTTTGGTATTGTAAAAGTTGGTACAATAGATTTTTTTGTCTCATTATCCTCATCATCCGTAGAACCATAGTTTTGATATGAAAATAGGCCAATAGAGAGACATGTTACAAACCGTACATACGCTCCGCACGAGCTGTGGTACGCTATACACGTAATGTTCGGCACGTGTTACGATACTATTGACGTAACGCTCCGTACACGTGACGTCACATCTATGTTCGTCATGCGTACCAATCGTTCGTTACGTCACGCGTACCACGGCGTTTTTGGTCGACATGTGATAGCAGGAGATACACTGTTTTCTGTGAACTGATCAAAATGACCACCTTTAACTCATATCAGCTTTATAAAACTAGAATTATTAGAGATTATATTATATCAAAATAGCTTATTTTGTTCAGCTTTTAATTCTCTATCTTCTTATGTATACCGTAAAAATTTTCAACAATCTATTGAAACGTAAGCTGGTACATCTTTTTTAGGATATTTTTTCTTTTTTTCCCCAAAAAAGGTGTAATAGTGCTAAAAGTCAGTATTGACTAACTTTTGATAGAAAGGTTACTAGAAGTTAAAATTTTAGGGCTAGTAGTTTTAGACATTGAAGTTTTGAGTGAGCAAAAAAATCGAAAAAAAATTCTTTCGAGTGTCTCGTATATTCTATGCTCTCATGGACGCTCTCTTAAAATATCAAAATTATTCAAAATATTCAATAAGATGAACGTGATAGATGTAATTTTGATCCATTCATTCTTACATTACTATTTTTAATTCAATTATCAATAAGTATAATGAAGGTTCCAAAAAGAAAATAAATACAACTTTATTTTTGATACATTTGCGAATCTATTTCTTTGAATTTATTATGAAGATTTATTTTCCTTTTCTTCGTGTTAAAAAGTCTTACTTATCGCAACAGAACATTAAAAATAACTTTATCTAGACATCTTATTCTTATATAAACTTTATATCGAGGAATACAATGTGTTTACCATTCTCTAATGTACTTGGAAGAAAGGAATGGATTCTTTCTATTCGGCATATTATTGTCTTCTTGCACATCAAAGATGTGCAAACATGACACAAACGAAACAAAAAAAAACATTTTTGTTTTTTGTGTTTTTTTTCTTTCTTATCAGCTTCATATAGATTATTATTGTCGTGCTTGTTATATATAACTCTCTCTCTTTTTTTTTACTACCCTCTCGCACAAAACATAGTCACAATGGATTCTTCTTCGTCGTCAACCAAAAGTAAACCATTAGTAGTAATAACAGGCGCATCATCAGGTATTGGTGAAGCTTGTGCTCGATCATTTTCTGCAGCTGGTTATCCTCTTTTACTTATTGCTCGTCGTCTTGATCGATTGCAAGCTTTAAAACTTCCAGACAATGTTATTTGTGCACAGGTTGACGTTACAGATAGAACAAAACTTAAAGAAGCCATTGAAAAAGCTGTCAAAAGATATGGACCTGTTGATTGTTTAGTAAACAATGCAGGTGTTATGCTTTTGGGTAAAGTA